ATAGGATATTAAGAGCTGTGATTCAGCACTTTGATGATATCGGATAAGGAGAAAGAATTTTTTCCTCCAATCCCACACTTAGTTCACTTGAGTGCTCAGTGTCTTCTCTATCAGAGTTCCCAGTGCTCTTTGAAGTAACAGAAAGGTTGTGCCTTTGGGCACTGTTAAGATACAAAGTGAACTGTGTGTGCGTTTGACGTGTGTATGTGTAAAAGTGTGCATATGTGTGTTTTTGTGTCTGAGCTTGTGAGTTTGTGTATGTATGTGTGATTGTGTGTGTGACAAGAAAGGTTAATGAATGGCTATTAAAATACAAATACTTTTCGGCCCTCCCTGGTGGCGCAGCAGGTTAAAGCACTGCACTAAGAAGCTTAAGCCATTTCTGCATGAATTCGATCCCCGCCTGCCCTGGAGGAGATCCACGTGTTGTGGCAGACCTCTCCTGACCCACCCGCTGCTCCCCTCAGCAGTGTACTTCCTCGATCTGCCTGTTCTGCTCCCCACTCTGTCTTTGGTGAATCCTTTCACCCACCGCATCTCTGGCTTGTACTCCAGTTCTGTATGAGTAAATAAATCTTAAAAACAAAACAAAACAAAACAAATACTTTTCACTTGGCATCAATTCTAAACAATGACATAATGGAATTATTCATTCAAAATATTCATATAGATCTTGCACACAACATCTATCTAAATGTATGATGTGTTTTCACTAAATGTCTGATTAAAACATCTTCGATTGGAGGTACCACTGCCAGAATTTAAGCACTCGCTGTATTTCTTTTCTAGTAAATTGTTCAATATAGTTATTTTTAATTCCTGATTCAGAGCACTACACTGAGACTTTCCGAAAAGACAAAGGGAAAAGCCTATGTGTAAGTAAGCAACAAAGTTTATATCTAGGAAAGTATTTCCTTTCCTATGAAAAGTGTTCTAAATGTTAAGAGTTGGCTATCTCAGATATCCTGCCAGTTACCATGAATGCTTTGGAAAAATTTCGTTCGATGATAGAAATCAGTGTGTCTCAAAGGATGGTCTGCATCATGACTGCTTGTGTAGAAGGCAAGTCTGAGAACTTAGTTTAGAATTAATGAATCAAAATCTGGGGTTGGCGTGCAACAACCCATGTTCCACAAGCCCTCCAGGTGATTCTGTTGGAGACTAAAGTCTGAGACCCACTGATAGCTGATGTGAGATAAAATGGCCATGGGAAAGCTACACAGAGTGTCACAAGTAGAAGCACCTGGGCGGTCAGGAAAATAAGACTTACAATGTTGGAGGAATTGCTTCCAGGATAAAATGAATGTTTTCCCTGGCAGCCTATGGCTTAAGTCTCGGCACACTCAGCCCTTAAGACCTGGGTTTGATCCCCACCATGGAGCTGGCCCACATGGTGCAGCAGACCTCTCCTGTTTCCGCACTGCTCCCTTCAGCAGGATATTTCAGTCGATCTGCCTGTTTTGCTCCCCACTCTGTCTCTGGTGAGTCCTCTCACCACTTCCCCTCCTAGTTATTCTATGCAAAAATTAAAAGGATAGAATGAACCTCACATTTGCTGCTTTATACAATAGTTCAACTATTATCAAGATTTAAATTAGCCATCTCTGCAATGCTTTCTGGTCATAGATGCACTAGTATCAATTTTTATATTATACTGGATTGAAAATGATACTTATCATTAAAGCCGCCAAAGATATTTACATTTCCAGTAAAGTTGGAGTTTTAGAGTTCACACGAGCTGCTGGGTATATGGTGAAAATAAATGAGATGACTTTTTGACTTTGCAATTGCCCATGACTCATTATGTTGGTATGTATTTAGGAAAGCAAAGGACAGATTTTCTAGAATTTCATCTATATAACAAATACACATTTCACAACTTACCACATTCAGCTTCTTCCATTTTTGATTGAGAAACTCTGGTCAGGTGCATGGTCAGTGAAGCTGCCAGGCTTTTCCCACCTTCCTGTGGCTAAGCTTCTGCAGCTGAGCTTCCGGCCGCCTGGGCAAAAGGCACTTGGGAGTGTGAGCACGGAGCATGCGCATGTGGAATTAGACCCTTGGGCCCAGAGAACAGGCCATGTGCGTGTGTAAATGCACACGCCTGTGCCTGGGGTGGGGGTACATGCACTTGTGGCAACAAGGCCAGGGACCATAGGCGAGACCATGAGACCGACTATGAATGAGACCACCAGAGGCAGGCCAGAGAAAGATGACAGTGATTCCTGGGAAGCTCGGTTGCCTGCCTGCCTCCCAGGCCCTGCCCAGCCCGGGGCCTGCCTGCTTGTTTTCCGCCTGTGGTGCCTGGGTACCTGTCTCCCTGAGCAAGAACAGAAAGATGTGCAAAACCCCACAGGGCTCTAGACTCTTTCTCTCTATGACCAGAAAGAACACCCAGCTGCCCTGGGTGGGGGTGCTGGTGCTGGAACGTGCTATAAGGTGGCCAGTGCTTCCTGGGTGCAGGTGGTTTCCGTTTCATTGCTGGTAATCACTACACCAGGGATAATATTTGACAATTCATCAAATTCAGAATTTGATTCAAATTCTGAAAATGAAATGAGAACATTTCACTGGCACAATAAGAAACTGATGAGAATTGATTAAAACTCAATGATGTTTTTAATGAAAGAAAAATGAAATGATTTTAGTATAAAGTGAAATCACAAGGGTAGATTGTGGTATAAAAGGCTGAATTTGGAATGGAGAGACATGGAAGTATGTTATAGAAGTTGAAAACACTAGAATTCACTGAAAAATAGCCCTGCCATGGAGGCCTTGGTAACTGAAGTTTAATCAGGCTCTTCAAGCCCTATTAAATGTTCTTAGTTCTTCAAATGTTCAGGAATTGATTTTTCAATGAAAATGCAAGAGTTATTTAGGATTGCATGGCAATTAATGACACTATTGTTAACTGAGAACTCAAGTTAATAGACCCAAGAAAATGTCCCAGGCAGTGTGAAGAGTTGAGTGGGCAACAGGAAAGGAAGAGAGTTTGTTATGGAGTAAATGTAGAAAGAACACTAAGAAATAAACCACCTATTTGCTCATTTCTTGGAGAAACATGCATGATTGCACCACACTAGAACACTTTGGCATTTAATATGTGAGTTGTTGTATTGGACCTACATGAAAAAGGGCAGTTTACAAAAAATACTGTGCTTACACAATTTTTACCTTGTTTTTCAGTATGAAAAACATTCTGAAGGTTATCCTTTCCTCCCAGTATGATTATTTTATATTTGACAAAAATCAGTTAATTTGGATGAGAGCAAAGCAAAATGAATTGGTTGCAATCTCATCAGGCAATCAGATTTGACTTCAACACAGCTGCTGGGAACTGTAACAAGCCAAGAAACTTCTAGTCAGAGACTGCTAGGGCTGTGGGAGCAAAATGCATTGTCATTACGTGAGGTGAGACCAGCAAAGACTTATTAACACATTCCTCCAAGAGGTATTTAAAATCAGTGCCATGCTTTCAAAGGCGATAAAGCAGTTTAATATTAATGAGCAGGATCTTGACTGTATTTAAATCAGAATCCATCAGAAGCACTTTTCTAAAATTGGGCATAAAGAAATCTTACTGCTCTGAAGCAACAGAGATGATATAACATACCAAGTTTTGTGTATAATATATTTATTTGCATACAGAAATATGTATTTCTATTATACAGTTCATTACTTTATTTATAGGATATGTATATTAAGCATACAGCATATTCCAGGAGATACACTTAATATGCACACAGTTCATGCTGCTGCGTGCACCCTTTTAAGAGAAGCATATTGAAGAGGCATGGCATGGTATATACATGCTGCAAATACACTTTGCACAATTCATCCAGCTTTGGGTGCTTCCCTAATCTATTGCAACAACACTGCTGTGGTTGTTGAAAGGGATATTATTCAACTGGGAGAAGGCAGCTATCAATGAACTAAGGAGAACATAAAATTATGTGTCATTTCTTAGTTTATTTTGCTATCATTTGAATGCCCATTTTTCCTCTTTAGGATCAAAAAAAGCTTGAATAGATAAACAACAGGATCTCTGGGATCTCCAGCTTCTACAATCAAACTGGAGTATTTACCTCATGTTAATTATTATATGGATGACTTTTCCCAACACTGGGAGCTGGAATTAAATGAACAATGAATTGTAAAAGTGCTGCCATTTCTTTTTTCAAGAAATTAAACTGTTTCTCCCTCCCCACATTCTTCGTCTCCTCTTCTTCTAAGACCACTCTGGTATATTTACATTATTGCTATGAGGAGAAAAATATTTGATGGATGCTATCTTCCCAGTGACCATCAAAGAGATGAGACATTGTTTCTGTAAGAAACTCTTCATGACTTTAAAGGAAAAATGGCAGCTGCGATAGAACTAACTATCAACTGTCATTTTAATGGATAACTACTTCATCTCAGTTGACTGGACTCAGTAGTGATATTAACTGCACATTAAGATGTTAGAATCATTGTGCTAGAGTGAGTGGTCTCATCATTTTGGGTATGTAGATGTGGCTGTGTTTTCACTCTTATGATTTCTGAATACACTGGGCTCTATGAATTACTGTGTTTCTGATACACAGTTGGTGAACTTTATCTTTTTAAACAGATGAATAATTTGCATTGATATTCTAATAGTGATACAAGATTCTTTTCCCAGTTAAATGATGCTAACTCTAGAATCCCTTAAAATACATCAAGATTTCTCAACTTTGGCACTACTGACATTTTGAACCAAATCCTTCCAGTCACCATGTGCCAATGTGTCTTCCTGGAACAGAGTTGTGACAATCAAAAATTCCTTCACATAGTGTTCGACATCTCTTGGGGAGCAAAACTGTTCCTGGTTGAGAGTCACCAAAACAGACAATCCCAGCTGTAGTGAACAGAGATCTTTAAATACAGTCTCCATATCTTTCTAATCATTTATGATTTTCAGTATTCTTTCCTTCCCATTTTTTGATTTGAGTTGACAAACTTAGATGATGTGTCGATCTTTTAATTCCTTTCTTTAATATTTGGTTTCTTTTTCAAAAAGAGCATAGTGACAATGGCAAAGATTGAGGGAAATGAAGAAGACAATGCATTGGTTGTAGAGAGAAGAAACAGTTTGACTGATGAAGTGTTGATTTGTTACAGAAGACCAAAAAAAAACATTCAAATCCAGAATCTAAATCTTTGAAATTAAGGAATTCTTCTTAACTAAAGCTGAATTTACATCCTTACAGTACGACAAGCTAATATGTGAAATATCCAGCTGGCCAGTTATATTGTTTACAGGAAACCAAGCAGCCCATTGACTTGATATTCATCTCACTTGATTTATTCATTGATTCAAAGAAGAAAAATAAATATGGAGTTAAGATGTAAAGTTTACATCGGTGCACCTGTAGAGTAAAGGAATCTATATAAACAGGTGCTATATGTGTATACATAGAAGATTTGGGTGGGAAAAGCACTGAAGTTATTTGGGCAAGAAGATAGTTTAATAAAGGATAAATGAAACACAAATACTGTTGGCAATTTGCTTCTTACTGTTTTTTTCTGTTGTTGCTTACCTTGTGCTTTTTTAAAAAAAATCTCAAAATGGAGCAAGTCACACACAATGGCCTAAAGACATCATACTGACAAATCATCATGCAATTCATATTGATGTTACCGGCACGATGTCATACTGGCAAGATGTCATAAAGCCCATAAACCTAAAATGCAAAATATGGAAATTTGGAAATACTTTTATAATCTTGATTTCTATCGATTGGGTCATCTTTAGACAATCTGTTTGGAGAGCTATAATAAATATGGAAAAAAAAAGCTGAGGTGAAAAGAATTAATTTTAAATGTGAATCAATGTAGTTCAAGTTTCGTTGTGATAACAAATAAAAACACTAAACATGACAAAATTCTTTATAAAGCCACTATTGGATAACAGTGTGTGTTATGGATTTAATTTTCATGGGCTAGGACTAGAGAAATGGTAAAAAATGACAAAGGCACAATCACCTAAATTATTCTTTTAGATTCATCGAAGCTCAGATGGCCTGTGTTTAGTTATCTACTACATTTCCATCAGGAAGTTTGCTAGACTTCTCTTGGTAGAATGTTAGAGTTAAAAAGCTTAGGGGAAATTGACAATTTGAGGAATACACAACATGTGTTTTCAGTAAATTTGAATTAATCCTTTTCCCCCTCCACAGCATCATAGGATGGTTATAAACAATCTCAGAGGACTCTAAATTGAATATTATACTTTAGCAGGCATTGAAGAGATGGTCTTAATCTCTTGAGGCTGACCCAGAAGTCACTGGTGCCATGTGAGTATGGAAATCCTATTTAGGATTCCTAATGAATAAAGCAACATCTTCTTTCTGCTGACAAAGGCCAAGAGTTCATGTTTTACAAGTTAGCATTTTATACATGGGTCAGGTAGGTTCAGGTTGAAACAAAATGCCCTTTCAACCTTTTGTTTCCTTATTTCAGAATTCATCTGGCCTCAGTAAACTTTCTCACATCAGAATGACCATGACTTAATTGGATGAAACCTTAATTTCAAAAATGGCTTTGGTTTCTGAAGCATGTTTGCGTATTAGTTAGGCTATCCTATTAAAATAAGAGGCTATTTGAGGAGAAATCAAATCATTTCTCATAAAGGATCCAAAGTGAATTCAATCCTTGTAGGCATTTATACTCCCAAGGAATGCAAAGGATGAAGTGGACAAAGGGTGAAATGCCCATTTCCATGACTGTATCTAGGGAAAGTCCTGCACATTTCCTCTTTACACACGTGGAACAGAGAAGTACAAACTCATGTCATAGTGCCATCATGACAAAAGCGGTGATGTGTTCTAGTTAGGGTGAGGGTGGAAGGGTTGTTTGTCTTTTTGTTCGCTTTCTTTCTTAATGGTTGGAAAAAAGGATTGCTAAAAAAATAGCATTTATAATGTCATTTTCCAAATAAAACCGCAACAAAAGAATAATATATACTTAACACTATGGAGATTGTTTCTACAGCATTTTTCGGTTTTCTTTCTCATTGTGTCATGTAGATTTCTTTATGTTTAAATCTCCATGTTGACTTAGGAAGGTTGCCTTTAAACTTCATGTGGATACATGGAAACCAAATAATGGAGAAAAAAAAATGAAGCTGGTTATTCTTCTTGTGCTGTGACTAGCAAAATTGTAGATTCACAAGCCCTTCTTCAAGAAAGTAGAAGATGTAGATCCTTCCTTATATCCACAATTCCAGTATGTCTCTTTTATGATCTCATGGCTCCTAACCTAGTAGTATTTATAAGGTGCAAATTTCTTATACTGGAGCATAGGGACCCTAACAGTGTCACTGCTGGGCTCCTCAATTGCACATCCCATAATTAGACTATAAAGTGCAATGACAGATTTTAAAACTAGGAGCTCTTTTCACCCCTTTTTCTCTTTCCCAGCTCCCCTGGACTGCCTTCCTTCTTTACAGAGTTTTATCTGGTAGCGCCTATGTTCTTGTAATGACACATGAGAAGGTGTTTAAAGGTCTTCTTGAAGGTGGCATTACAGAGTGCATAGCAGGCAGGGTTGATGGTGCTGTTGATGTAGCAGAGCCAGTAACCAATTGTCCACACTGTGTTGGGGATACAGGGTGCACAGAAGGTGTTGATGAGCACCATGACGTTGTATGGTGCCCAGGTGATGATGAAAGCCAGCAGAATAGCCAAGATCGTCCTGGTCACTTTCTTTTCCCGGGAAGGCGGGGGCTTCTTTTTGGCAGGTTGCTTGGTCATCTTCACGATCTTGCGAGCTAACATATTCTGTTTCTCATCTCCATTCTGACCCGATGAACCAACGAGCTCCACAGCGGTATTAGTTGGGGTACACGAGTCTCCTTTTTGGGTCTTGGTGACAACTTTGATGCATGTTTGCTTTGAGTTCTCTTCTTTGGAATAGCCCAGGGAAGTGGAAATTGTGTTTTCATCCTGGGTGATTTCATCATATATCATGTTAGAAGCGACCGCACTGACTGAGGTGGAGTCATTGGAGCTTTCTTTCTCTTCCCCCTGGACACAGTTTTCAGTCACGGCATCTCTGGGTGCTTTGCCGTTCTGGATCTTGCTGTGCTCTAGACCGTCATCGCTGCAGGCTGTGGTGGTGTTGTTAGGCTTCACGATCCTTCCTTGCACCAGACTTGGAGAAACTGGATCTTGGTTGGCCACAGGTTCCTTCTTGTCCTTCTTTATCCTGCTTTTGCTGGCTCGGGATATGTGCCAGTATAACACGGTCATGATGATCACTGGCAAGTAGAAGGCCGCGATGGCAGTGCCAAAGGTGACGGCAGCATTGGAGAAAAACTGAATGTAGCATTCCCCGTCCTTGACAGTTCTCACCCCCACGATGAATTGCCAGAAGAGAATGGCTGGGGCCCAGAGGATGAAGGAGAGGACCCAAGCAGCTGCAATCATCATGCCTGCCATTTTTGTGGTTCGCTTGACGGGGTAGGTGAGTGGCTTGGTGACACAGAAGTACCTGTCAAAGCTGATGATGAGCAGATTCATCACGGAGGCATTGCTGACCACATAATCCAGAGCTAGCCAAAGGTCACACACCACAGGCCCCAAAGGCCAGTAGCCAATCACAGTGTAGAGGGTGTACAAGTTCATGGAGAAAACACCAATAATGAGGTCAGCACAGGCCAGGCTGAACAAGAAGTAATTGTTGACGGTCTGGAGGTGGCGGTTGACTTTGATGGAAACCATGACGAGGATGTTCCCAATAATAGTCACCAGGCTGAGGGATCCAGCCACAAGGACAATAAATACCACTTCAAATGTCTTATAAGGACTGGTCAGAGCCAGGCCATTGTTAGAGGAGTTTGTTGAATTATTCATTTTGTGTTCTTTAGTCAGTAGCCAAGGAGCCAAAAAAACATTTACCTGCAGGGAAATAGAATAAAATGAACAAATATAAATAGTGCTTTAAAATAATTCACATTTCTTTCTTTTGAACTACATTCTTCCCCCAAATCTTCCTGCCCTCTTCTTCATGTTTATCGTGTCCACTTGCTCCAATTTTCATACAAAAGGCAGAGACTTTAAATGAAGGATGTATAAGATGTTATTTTGAATAGTTTCACATGTAGATGTAGCTAAGTATCTATTCTTTGTTATCGTTCAATTAAACTGGGAATAATATGGATGAATTGAATTAAAGAAACCAAAATTGTAGTGGAAATCTAAAACATCAAGAGGTTTCTAGTAATAAACAGTGTGGGAGAACAAAATTATGGCAAAGACAAATAATCTGTAACATTAAATGTGTGAAATTCATAGTCAATAGCACCTTTCCTTCCAGTAACTTCACTATCATAAAATCTTCACTATTGTAAAGATAATACTGATAATGATTATGATAGAGGTAAGATAGTGATATTTTATTAGCCAATACACTCTTCCAATGAGTATGATGCTTCTCTGATCTCTGTTTTACATTTGTAGTATCACACAGCTTTACCCAAATTTCATCTTCTGCAAAAAGTTCATTTATTAAGTGCACAGTGATGCAATTGTACCAAATTTAGGCATGTTTCATTTTTCAAATCACTAGCAAGTCTATTATCTTACATACTATTCTTCCTGCCAAATCTTAGTATAATCAGGCTAGCCTTTGAGTTTGTTTAGTAGAAGAGGGTAAGGTTAAGTAATAAAAACAAAGTCAAGACAATGATGAAGATTATGAGTCTCTATTCAGTCATTCATTCATTCACTCATTCACTTTCTCTGATGAATGTCTTCTGCTTTAGGCATTGAGATAGGTGCTGGGTATTCACTGCTGATAAACACAGGCCCTTGCCTGTGAGGGCAGTTGTTCTGGTGGAGGTGAGATGGGGAAGTAAAGAAACAACTATGAAACTCGACCAGACTTTCTGCTGCCTATTTATATATTATCAGGGCCTGAAGAGCATGAGAAAACATTCAGGATTTTAATCAGATGAACGCTAATGGAATGCATCTCACCATCTTGCCTCTAAAATGGCATATTAGGTATTAATTTCTGGTTCAAAAGGAAGCATTTATCACTGAACTGTTTGTTTAACATTATATATGCTTCAGGGTACAATTTAATGCTCTCACTATGAACATGCTCTTTTATAACTAAACAAAATGTAGCTTCTCAGGCTTATTCCAGATCTCCTATGTCAGAATGTAAGCCTAACTTGGAAATACTTCTACAGCCTTGCTTCTCTTATTTCTTAAAATTATTTACTGTTCAAACAATCTCTCTTGGCTTGATCTTCAAGTTATCACCAACATTCCCAGTGTCTCTTGTGTATTACATTTAGGGGAAAAACACTTTCCTCAATATTAAATTCCTTACCAAGTGTTATGAGAAGTTTGGCTTTATTAAAGCGTAACATAAAAGGTTTACGCATGAGACTGCCGAGGTAAATAAAGGTCTCATCACATAGTCCTCAGGGACAACTAAAGAAGTCTGCGTTTATTCTGTAAGTCATAGAGAGACTTGGAAGAGCTTAATCATCAGAGTGATTTTGATGGAATGGAACTGATATTCCCTTCTACAATTCTTCACATCCTATTTTACCAGTCTCTGCGGATCACACACCATCATTTCAGTGCTAAAGCAGAAATCAGAACCATCTCTTGGTGTCCTACCTCTGCTTTACTACTTATAGTCAAAGGCTAACCATCACCTATCAACACCATTTCTCAAATATCTTCTGAATTTATACTCTGCTCCATTTTTCACATCAGTGTCTTTAGGTCCTACCTCCTCTACCTTTGACATAGTAAACCCTTGGAAAAATTGTAACCTTGCCCCCTTTCACCTTTCCATAAATACCTGGAAACTTCCTTAGATATTCCCTATCCACGACAAGTGCATGCAATATTCCAAAGACAACATTCTGTGTCTCGACTTCATGCTATTTTGCTTAATTGTTTACCTTTAGGCATTTCTTTCACATCTCTTATCCTTACTGCTGAGCTGTCTGTCTCCTTTTCAGTCTTGAGTCTTCACAGGTCATTGGAACTTGTCTATAGACCTTGGCCATGCAGGCCTCTATTCCTTTCTGCTTCCGTGACTCATCTACCATCATTTTATTCTGTTCTGTTCTTATTCACGTTTGTCTGGGTTTGAGGTTTTTGAGTCTTAAGGGACAACAAAGTTAATCCTACTCCCCACATTGCAATCGAGTTCCTTATCAGTCTTTGCAAAGCCCTTCTCTCATTTTTATTTTATCAGCACTTTCCTTCCTTTCAACTTGCACATCCCTGTACCTGAGCTCCATTAGGACTTTCTGTTATGGCTTAGACTATTTCTGTAGTTAGATATGTCGCTCTGAAAAAATAAGGTTTTGTTGGCTTATGATTTAATTTACTAAATAATATTGTGGTCCAGCTTTTGTTTGGTTTCCTTTTATTTTCGCTCAACACATGCTTCTAATTTCACAGTGGGCAATTGTGATATTTGCAATTTCCTTGTATTTGCCAATTCCAGAAAGGCAAATTGTTTTTTGTTTTAATTTGTCTTTCTTTGATTATTGAAAGAATTTGAATTATTTTTTAAATAATATAAGTTTATTTTTACATCATTTTTTTTGCCTTTTCCCATGTCAGTTGTAATTTCCGTGGGCTTCCCATCACCAAAGAGGTTGAATATTTTTTTTAAAAATACACTTAGGGGCCCTCCCTGGTGGCGCAGCGGGTTAAAGCACTGCACTAAGAAGCTTAAGCCAGTTCTACATGAGTTTGACCCCACCTGCCCTGGAGGTGACCACATGGCGTGGCAGACCTCTCCTGATCCGCCCGCTGCTCCCCTCAGCAGTGTATCGTCAATCTGCCTGTTCTGCTCCCCACTCTGTCTCTGGTGAAGCCTCTCACCCTCCGCATCTCTGGCCTGTACCCCAGTTCTGTATGAATAAATAA